TTTCTTTCTTTCTTTCTTTCTTTCTTTCTTTCTTTCTTTCTTTCTTTCTTTCTTTCTTTCTTTCTTTCTTTCTTTCTTTCTTTCTTTCTTTCTTTTCTTTTTTCGTCCCCTTAATTTGCTTATATGTATCTTCATGCTAAATCCCTGTGAGTAAATCTGAACCATTGACTAATCCAAAAAATCCAGGCCTCGTGAGACTAGTGATCTGTCATCTTCTGGAATGTATTATGTGTTTGAGGTCATGCAGCAATGTCTGTAAATAATCCTTAATCAGCAGTAGAGATAATATTATTTTGAGAAACTGAGAAATTTGAATCTCCCCTATCCCCAAATAGATATCCCTAGAGAGGGTTGAAATCTGAACAAAATATATACTTTTGAGAACTGTTTAAACTGTGGAACAAGATTAAGGATTTGAAAGACTTTCCCCTCCTCCTTTTTCTATTTTTTTTTCTCTTTTTGCTCATTTTAAGTGTGGCATTTGAACAGTGTGACTTAGTTTCACTGCAGAAAGAGATTGCGTTTGTTCCCCAGCTGAACAAAAAATGTTTCCCTTCAGCAGGCTCTCTGTGCAGCACCTTGCACAATGATATTTCAGTTCTAAGGCTTTCGGTCATACTTTATTAAAAGTAAACAATAATAAGTCAGATTGAGGAAATCAAATATTTGCCTTACACTTTTGTCATCTAATATTCATTTAACATCTGCTCTTTTCATAGTCGCTCCTATCAGTAAGCTTGTTTGCAAAAATGCTTGCCAAAAAGCCAATTCCGGAGGAAAGAGGAGCTCTTCTAGCTTTGTCTTGCCTTGCCTTTTTTGCCTTTTTTTTTCTTATGCCTTTTTTTTTCTTTTCTCAAATGCAGGCATTTGCCCTGAACCAGACGTGACTAATATTTTCCATGAAGACCCTTTTAATAGATTCCTTGTAGAAGGTTTGATGTAGAGGTGTCAATCAACACACCATTCATGTGACTGCCTCTTGCTTTGAGTGCCACTTCTCCGCATTCGAAACTTCAAGAAACATGAGATGAATTACTGCTCTGTCCCTCGTGGTGAACGAGCATGAATACTGGCGAGAGCCAGCAGAAGGGAGGTAAGGAGGTTCTGCATGTTCCCCCCAGGCAGATCAGCCAGCGCTTCTCAAATCCTAATGATCTTGAATCATTTAATTCCTGCTGCAAATCAGCTCCACCTTTCCTCTTTAATCCTGAGTTCCAAAACCCACCCTTGCCATCTTTTCGAGCAAGCTGCAAGGACATATATCTAGTCGTGGACCTATTTTATTGCATCTCTTCCCAGGGTGGTCATTCAGCCATAGAAGAATTGGTCTTGATAATGAGCTACTGTAAATCAGCATCTGTTATCACAACAACAGTACCGGGAAGGACCTGTGGGGATCATTACCTTTCCAATAGAAGTCTTGCGTTATTTGAAGTGGATTTTGCTCTTAACTCAGGTAACCAAAATAGCATGTGCATTAGGATATCTAGGAGACGTGTGGGAGACACGTGCACACAGGCAGTATTGAACATAAAACTGACCTGAAAATAGCAGGGCACAGATTAAAAGAACAGAGCATATGTTTTATAGAGAGTGAACTCGCAGAGAGCTAGCAGCTTGCTTTTGCCACCCCTGACAGGAAGCACGCGAGAGGAAACTCCGATTTCTTGTGTCGTTCGTGTTTCGGGGGCTGGGCAATGAAATTGGCACGCAGCAAATGCTGACGCAACGAGCCTCCGATCACACCCCTCTGCTCCCCGGGGCACCTTGGGGCAGCTCCTTCCCTCTGAATGTGCAGCAGGGGAGCAGACTAGAAAGGAGGCGGGCAGCTTTTATGCTCCCAGCCTTTTGGCTGAGCTCGTGAAAGATGCAATGTGACAAGGCTTGTCGTATGCTATCGGATAACCCTACACGATGCCACCCCTGCCTGACTCGCTGTTGAATCCCCCCGCCAGATGACGGGAGCCAAGTGCTCCCTTGTGCTCCTGCCAGGACGGTAGCAGTCTAGCGTCCCTCGCTGCGCTCCACGGCTGTGCCCTGACTAGCCTCTCATTAAGGCCGGTGCGGGGCGGGGGAAATAAAAACTAAGCCTTCATCCTCTCCGTGTTTAAGGAAAGGAGTTTCGGATATACCTAAGGAAACCGAGTGCTCATTCTTACTTCCTCTCACTTGTTGAAGCCCTTCAAGAACTTACAGGCCATCCTGTTCTTACTCTTCATTACTTTTGTGAGCCCTTTGCCAGCTATGTGACATCAATGTTTTTGCCTTGATTTCCTAGAGAAAGATGCTTGTCTGGTTATATTGGGGAGGAGGAGGAGGAGGAGGAGGAGGCAAATGGAGGTTGTTGTTTGTATGCATCTCTGGGTATATTTTCCTCTGTCTGTCTTTTGAACTGCTTGGCAAGCGTCAAACAGGACTGGTAAGAGCACAGTGGTCTTACGCGGAATGTTGCATTCCTCCAAGTTTTGTTAAATGTGGTAGTGGGTGGGAAAGAGAGGCATCCCAGTACACCTCTTCCTAGATCTCGGAGAAACTGCATGGGACCTGAGATCCGTGAAACAACCCACAGGAAAGCAGATGTTGTTGCTTCCTTCATTTGTGGTACAACTTGTTTCCCGGGCGAATGCATAACTTTTCTGCTTCCTTCTCTGCTAAGACGGTATAAGGTTCTGGTGTAGGAAATAGCAGAAGATTGCCTTGACGGCACTTCACTTCGCTACTCAGAGGACACGAAACCGAACTTGTCCCAAAGGCCCTCATTAAAATTCAGACAAGCTCACTAGCGTTTTAAAATCTAACTACATATGCACAGGTCGTGGCTTGACAAGGGACTGGCCTCCCAGGTCCCCAGCCTGTTGTTACAGTTCCTTTACTCAGCTAATGGTGTCGGGCTGATTCTTTGAGGGAGGAAGAGAGGGCTGTAAATCTAAAGAACTGATGGAAAAATGGACAATACATGTAAATTTCCCTTTATTGCACATCACTTGTTGCCAGCAACACAGATAAATCCCGAATGATTTGAGCCGCATCAGCTTCAAAGTGGCAGAAAATTTTCCTCGGGCACAGAAGAGCTGCTGCAGGTGACAGGTGGGTCGCAGCACCTCTTAGCATACCAAGAGGGGCAATAAACTGCAGTAGGAACAACTTTACTTTTTAGGGAGGCCAGCACAGACTAGCAGATTAATTTGGACTAAAAGACAGCACAGGTTGGATGATGGCCTTTGCTACAGAACAGGAGCAAGGAGGGATGTTGCTCTGCAAACATTTCCGCCCAGAAAGGGCTCTCGGAGGCCCTCCAAACATGGAACGAGGCAAGCCCTGTGCTCATCTTTCATGCTTTTCAGTGAGAGGGACCCACTTTGCTGTGGCCAGCTGACAACCCGTGCTTTGCTGGCACTCTCAGCCCTGAGGTGTCTCTGCACACTCTGCAGCTACAGGAGTAACATGGAGCGAGTGGTGTTTACACTGCTGGTAAGTGGCGACCTGCTGTGCACATTTGTATACCAAATACAGCAGTAATCTAAATTTCTCGTCTAAATCCCCCTTAATGCCGCTGCAGAGGAAAAGGAGCGTGGTTGCAGTTTCGGCAGCAGTAGCACCTTGGCCCCGGGAGCGGCTCCAGCTGCGCTCTACCGGCAGCAGTGTGGCCGGCTCACAAAAGCCGCCAGCCCCGCAGCGCAGAACCGCGGCCCGTGCCCCGCAGCCCAGTAACCCTCCAGAGTTACGGGCCGAGGTTACGAGTGGAAAGTGATGAGCGGTCAGAGTTCTGTTTTGTGCTGACATCTGCGCAAGCTGAGTTTATCTGGGGTCACCGGGGAGGTGTATTCGGGGAAGGAAAAAAAAAAAAGCCTGAAATCGTGAAGGCTGTAAAGAAGTGCTAGTGGTGACTGGCAGGAAATGGTTCCTGCGGGGTGCACCTCTGTCATCTGACACAGTGAAGACTTCATTTTAGCTGAGGTCTCCGAGCACAGTCTTTGCAAGGATAACATCCATAAAGAAAAGCAGTTTGTAGCCCCAGTAGCCTGGGCAAGCCCTAGTTATGAATCCTGTATTATTTCCATATTCATTGACTCCAGAAATTCATTAACAGAGCCCAGTGTATTCATGAATTTCTGCCCTATTTAGCAGGGCGGGGCAGCTACTCTTTTGGAGGAAAGGTTACACAGGAGCACTAATGTTTTTAATTAGGGCGCTTTGGGTACAACTTATTGCAGAAGCTAAGGCAGGGCTAAACCTGCTGCTCTCTTCAGTGGCTGTTTTATTCATCAGCAGTATACATAAGGGCTGCAAAAAAAGCCAAAAGGCAAAATGTGCGTGATCTCAACAAGTATGTTTAGCACCTTGTTTTCAAGAGAAGAGCAAGAGAAGCCTCCAGCAGGCTTTCCTCTTCCTAGAAGAAGTGATTAAAACGATTTATGTTCCTAAAAGAAGTGATTAGAGCAATGAAGATAGCGTAAGCCAGACGAGGAACACGGCTGGCTCAGGAAAGCGGCGATGAGGCGGCGCCGGCCGGTGTCGGTCGGCTGGCCTCTGCCGCATCTGCAGCCCCTCTGAGTTTCCCGAGAAGGGGGCAAAGCGCAGGCGCTACCTCGCGCCGTTTTGCTCGGCACACAGACCCAGGGTGGGGCTGGGGGGAACCCCGGCTCTCCCTCTCTGGCCCAGCAGCCACGGAGGTTTTCCACGCGCCCTTTGCAGCAGCCGTCACTGATGAACCTTCATTTCCTTTATCTCGAAGGCTCCGGGATGATTCATGCAAGCTCTTCCGTTATACTTCTCCACATATTCTACATCTGTTTTGGCCTCGGGATCTTCTTGGATAAAATTGTTTTTGCTGAAACATGGTGCTTCTGCCCAAAGTCACGTCTAGAGCAAGGATGGAAATTTCATAAACTAATAGAGTTGCACCTCTTACATTCAGCAAAGATGACAAACAGAGAGTGGCACTTTGGCAGTGCTAGGCCTTTGTCAGCGGCAGCACGTTCAGCGCTGTAGCCTGCATTTTACTTGAGTCTATAGTGCTCTTGCTGGGGAGGGCGGAATCATAATGGGGTGAACACATTATTTTTTTTACCGTCTGTGAGGGCAGTGATTTGCTGTATAATCCTGGTTGCTGACGCTGTCCGTGACTTGACAGGTTTCCATTTAACCTGTCACAGACACATTCTTCAAGGTCAAGAGGTTGTTGCCCCTGGCACATGAAAAGTGTCTTCAGAATAATATCTGAATGCGGGCAGGTATGTTCCAACATATTGGACCGTTTCTTGGACAGATCTAGTAATTGCTTTTACTTTAATATTTCTTCTCCTTGATCTTTTCCCCCTTTTCTAAGGTATGTTTATCATTTGTACAAGCAACTTGTCTTGTGCTAGGGTTCTGTGGGTGTGATTTTTAAGGCTTTTCCAGTGAAGAAATTCACTGATATAACCAAATAGAAAATTGAAGTCCCTACAGACCTTCATACTGTTGTTATGCCTCTTTGATCTTTTTCTGTTATTGTTGTAACTGCTAATTGATTTTTATTTGACACTAAGGCGAAAAAAATCTACAGAAAAATAAAAATATCAAGTGGAAAGGACGAGAAAGGGAAATGCAAAGAAATAGATATCATATTTAGACAAATATTCTCCCACCTAACGAATAAGCGACAATCATCATTGTATGGATTACTTTCCTATTCCTGAGGCATATTTTAAAGGAAATATCTTTATATGCCTGTATTCTGGAAGACACCCTTGGCTTTTCTGGTGGTAGCATCAGAGTATGGCAAAATGGCAGAAACGACCTGTCTTCTGGGTGTATTGACTTCCATCACAAGTTTCAAACAGAGAATGCTTTATGTTTAGTGAAAAGTGTTAGTACAGAAATACTACTGCATTTGTTTTTTTCTTTATTTTAACGGAAAAGAAAGGAGGAATAACGTGAGAAAAGCAGTTAGTTTCTGGTTAGAATTGACTTGCAGTGGCAATCCTGCTGGTCATGGAGTTTTCAGCTAGCCCTATTTGTTACACTATTTGTTTCTCTAAAGTAGAAAGACAAAACTGCTGAGCTCCTGTTACTTATTTATATTAAGGAGGTCTAGAATCCCCACTCACTGAATGCTCAAGGAACAAAAATAAGCCCCTAACAATCGCATGTCATAGTCTTCATTAGCAGGGGGATTTTGAAGTTGAGATTTTGATTCTCTAATTAGTAAGATTGCTAAAAACCTCTCATTGGTATTGTCAGTTTGCCCTTAAGAAAATGCAGATAAAGAGCTTACGAAGTCTAGTCCTTCCACACAGACTCACAGCGAGCTGAAGTATTTCTGTGTGACCACAGACATTTTCTTAACAGGTCTCCAAGTGATTCATGTCCTCAGTAATTCTTGCTGTTTACTACTGCATATTAAGGCTTTTATTTCAACTTTAATGCTTTTAAAATTAATAAGATCTTCCTAATTGTGGATTTGCAAGCGTG